TAATCAAGTTCTGGCCATTCAACTATTAATAGTATTTTTTCCTCACTAAACTATTAAAATGTAAATTTTAGGTTATTTCATCTGATTTTACCGTCAACTCTGTCAGATTTAACTATTAATAGTATGTCTCATGAATCATGCAATCCCTTAGATTTGATAGAGTTAATGGTAGAATCAGATAGAATGGTGTAAAATTCATACTTTTAATAGTTCAAGGTAAAAACATATTATTAATAATTGATTGGCCAAATTTTGCCTATTAAAAAAGTTTAGTGTCTATCCAAAACACAAGAAGGAGGGGTCTATTGAATACCAAAAGCTAATGGTGCCAAACTTCAATGCAACCTCCCCATTAATGAATAGATGATTTAATAGTTCTCTTTCATTATGATAGCAACGGTATCGAGAAACCAACGCCACTCCTCTATGCTGAAGATTACCATCCAATAGAAGAAATTTGGGCAATAACCTCCAAACGGAGAAAGAGAACTTAAATGGAAGACATGTGTGATACCCAAGTTCTGAGTTGGGAGTTTTAAGAGAAGACCGAAGAAATTAAGGATGAAACTTGAAGACATAGAAAATTGAGGGACCATTATGTAAATAAGGATTAAATTAAAGAATATATTAGTGAAATGGACTTTCTGTGACGCCCCCACCTCTCCTTAGGGCGAACCCTAGGGTATCAACGGGACGCCTGCCCAACTTTCGTCAGGACTCACGCACTCAATCTAGTTTAAAAAAAAACCACAAGTCAACCATTGAATTATAATTGAAAAATACTTCAAATATACAGTCCAAAACTTCAATTACAATCCATTTACAATTACAATCCAAAATACCTAAGTATAACAAAATTTGCACTTCAAAAGTGTCCAATATCATGCAAAATATATACTAGCTTCAACCAAAAGCCGCTAATCTAGAATCTCCAACTTCTATCTCTAAAGTCTGTTAATGAAAATAAACTTAAAGGGATGAGTTAACGCTCAGTGAGGCCAAGAAGTTCAAGCAAGCAATCAAGTAGCACCAATTAAATGAAATATCATACTTGAAAGTGACTTTAACATGAGATTTCATTTAAATACACAAGTAGAAAATAATACAAGTGGAAAGATACAGGAGCTCTGAGGATTTATTTCCACGTCTCGATCGATTCAAGACATCTGAGATTGACTGTCTATCAACTCAAGTAGTAACATGACTATAGCGCTCCACTTACTTCCTCTATTCAACATAACACCCATTCGGATCCGGAACCAAACATTCGTGAGATGGCGATACTATTCGAGTATGCCAAGCGAGATCTCAAAAGATCAAGTTATAAAATTTTTCAAGGTTCACCAAGCTTCTAGACACAAGCCCTTGCCAGCTCGAGTTACGAGATTAGCCAATGGGTTGAGGCATCCCCACAAGTATAATCTTGGCTGTTGAGTGTGGTTTTTGGCGTCAAAAATCAAGGATTAAATGGATTCAGGAGGGGGATGCGAACACGGCTTTCTTTCAGGCTGTGGTTCGGCAAAGGCGGGCAGCAAACTACATCTCTGGTATTCGGAGTGAAACTGGGCAGTGGCTGACTGAGGATGCGGACATTAAGGGTTCGGCAGCTTCATTTTTTGAGTCGCTTTTTAATTCGGATAGGGGTACTGATCGGCAACCTGTTCTGCCCTTCGATCTCCCACAGGTGTCTCTGGGGATAATGCCAATTTGTTGGCAGTGCCAACAATGTCGGAGGTGCGCGAAGTGGTCTTCTCGATAAGCCCAGATAGTGCCCCTGAACCAGATGGCTTTGGGTCAGGATTTTACCAGGTTTGTTGGGAGATCATCAAGGATGGTTTGGTGGCTGCTATTCAGGATTTTTTTAAAGGGGGATGGCTCCCCAAAGGTGTAACCAGTACTCTAATCGTGTTGATCCCCAAAATTGAGGGGGCTTCTCGGTGGCAGGAATTCCGGCCCATCAGTTTATGTAATGTTAGCTCCAAGATTATATCTAAGCTGGTGTCCAACAGGTTGAATCAGCTCCTCCCTCAACTGATCTCTCCTTGCCAGTCGGGCTTCGTCCCGGGTCGTCAAATAATGGATAGCATTCTCCTGACGCAAGAACATGCAAAGGAGCTGGACCGGCGCTTGGAGGTTCCGAATCTCATGCTCAAGCTCGATATGGAAAAGGCATATGATCGGGTGGAGTGGTCCTTCCTCTTGTTCATGCTCCGATCGTTTGGCTTCCAGGAACCTGCGGTAGATTTGATCTTCCGGTTGGTGGCCAATAATTGGTTCTCAGTATTAGTCAATGGGTAGATTTGATCTTCCGGTTGGTGGCCAGCTGGCTTCTTCAGGTCAACGAGAGGGGTCAGGCAAGGAGATCCAATCTCTCCAGGGCTCTTTATTCTAGTGGCCGAATTTTTTGGCAAAGGGCTTCATTCCTTGTTTCAACAAGATAGACACAGGTTTTTTCAGGCTGGGGGAATTACGATACCATATCTGGCATTCGCGGATGATGTCATCATTTTTACCAGGCTTGACAGGGAGACTTTAGAGGTGGTTAGGGATTTCTTCTCACAGTACCAACGGTACTCAGGACAAAAGATCAATGTGGCGAAGAGCGGGTTTGTCTGCTCATCTGGGGTTTCAGAGACGCAGTTGGAGCTGGTGTCTAGCATTCTGGGCTTTCAGAGGCAGTTCTTGCCGATGGTATATCTTGGTGTCCCATTTCCCGTGGTCGTTGTTCATCTATGGCCTTTGATGGGATCCTTGCAAAAGTGCGGGCACGGATCTGTCATTGGAGTGGGAAGCTGTTGTCCATGGGGGGCAAATTAATTCTTATAAAGCATGTCTTGAATTCGATGCCGATATACCTCTTACAGGTGCTCAAGCCCCCCAAGGCAGTTTTAGTGGCCCTGGGCAGATTATTCAATGCTTTCTTATGGGATAAATCCAGGGAGGATAAACGAACGCACTGGGCGTCTTGGGAGAAGTTGTGTTTTCCCACAGAGGAAGGGGGGTTAGGGGTTCGGCTGCTGGGTGACATGGTCAAAGCCTTATCTTTCAAACTGTGGTGGAGGTTACGCCAAAGGGGGTCCTTATGGTCGGATTTTATGTTCTCTAAGTATATTAAGGACCAGCACCCGTTGCAAGTGGAGGTATCAAGGCCGTCTGGAACATGGAAGCGTTTGATTGGCATAAGGGAGGGGGCGGAGGCGCAGATTTCGTGGAGTCTGGGACCGGGCATGGTGGATTTCTGGTTAGACACCTGGTGCGAGCTGGGCCCCTTAAGTGCTTTGGTACCGGCAGAGAGCGATAGACCACACTTTTTGGTGGCGGAATTCCTTGGTAGGGGAGGATGGAACCGGGGCCGGCTTCTCCACTGGCTACCAGCCAATCTGGTGGATTGGATCGTGGAGGTGCCGTTCGACCTTGAGGGTCAGGATCAGATCCTGTGGGTAAAGTCGGCGACGAGGCAATTTTCTGTAACTGCTGCGTGGGAGCTGTGCCGAAAACGTCGGGGCAGCTGGCCACTGACTAAAATGGTTTGGAACAAGGGTACACCGTTGAAAATTTCATTATTTGCTTGGAGGTTGCTGGGTAATTTTGTACCTTTGGACTCGGTGATGCGGAGAAGAGGGCTGCCCTTGGTTTCCAGGTGCTCCTGCTGTCTGGAGGAGGCGGAATCATTGTCACATCTTTTCGTTACTGGTCCAGTGGCGAGGGAAGTTTGGGGGCATTTTGCCAGTATGTTCGGCATACTTCAAGGGCCTCCTGAAGATATTCAGCTGCTGTGGAGGAGGTGGGCCACTTCGCTGACTCACATCCCTCCGCATCATATTCGGTGTTTGCTGCCGTTAGTGGTTTCATGGTTCTTATGGCGGGGCCGTAACAAGGCAAGGTTTGAAGGGCAGGCATTTTCGGCCCGCGGGGTTATCATTGAGGTTAGTAACTACTTGCACGACCTGGGAAGAGCAAATATGTTGGATAAGGTACAGTTTCGTGGTGACCGGGATTGCGAGTGGGCAAGGTTAGCAGTGGGTATGGCACGAAAACGGCGACCAGTGGTGGTAATATGGGAGTTTCCCCCGTCGCTGTGTTACAAGCTGAACACGGATGCGAGTGTGGTCAACGGTAAGGCTAGTGGAGGAAGGGTGTTACGGGATTCGCATGGTAGAGTTATCTTTGCATTCTATAAGGAGTTTGGGGAAAAAGGCGTTCTGCAGGCTGAGGCTTTGGCGGTTTTAGAGGGGCTCTTACTCTGTGGGACAAGGGGGTTATCTGGGATTCTAGTGGAGGTGGACTCGCGGCGTTCTTGTGTCTTTAGTCAAATCCTCGGCACTGGGGGGTTGGTTGCATTGCAATGTCATAAGGCGGATTCGTCGTCTGTTGGATCAGCTTGCGATGTCGTTTAGGCATATATTCCGAGAGGCAAACGGGGTTGCAGATGGGTTAGCTGCTCTGCAGGGATGTCCGAGTACGGTTTTTAACTCTCCTCAGCTGTTACCGCGGGAGGTTCGGGGACATATTGCTATGGATGCTGCCCAAGTCCCGGCTTTTAGATTAGTACTTGAGTAAGGGATAGGAGGCTCGAAATCGCTTGTAACTGTTTTTTGGATTGAATAAAAAGATGTGTTTGTGAAAAAAAAAAAAGTAAAACTCAAAAGTTGCTTTTGAGTCGAGTCGTGACAAGAATCTCAATCCCAAAAGAAAGTACCATACTCAATTTTTTTGGCACGAAACTCGAGGAAAGGAAAGATGGTTTTTGTGACGACCCCACTTCCCCCTAAGGCGAACCAGAGGGTTGGCGGGCCGTCTGCCCAGCTCTCGCCAGGACTCACGCACGCACACTAACCCGGATCCTTCCGAAGAATAACCTAATCTGTTACAAAACAACTTTTCCCAGATAGGATCATCCTTAAATCTACATTAACTTCAGAGATAGCAGTAAAGAAGATAGCCAGTCGACGGCTCTTATACATCTCACGCGTTACCTCTAAGGTATAAGGTCGTACCAATCCGGATATATACTGTCACACACCACGATTACAACCATACAAGCCAAACATAATAATTAGGGTTTAAACATTTTCCAGCTTCAAGTGGCAATCCAAAATAACCAATACGTTTTTCAATTCACAATACAATACAACGGTAAACTGCAGTCTTAAGATTCAAGTACAAATTAAAAGAAATCAGCACTGCTCAGATTTCTCAAACTTCAAGACCTGTCAAGGAAAACAATTAAACGTGGGGTGAGCTAAAGCTCAGTGGTGCCCCAAAAACATGCAATCAATTAAAACAATTAGCACGTATTGATTCGACTGAAGTAAACAAATAGGAAGGCGATAATACCCAAGTGTACCTTAGACTGGTCGAGGGATTCACCCAACGACGTTACGTCCTGAACTTACATTATTATTATTGACTCGTCGAGGGATTCACCCAACGACTTTACGTCTAGCACTTGATTTACTCTTATTGACTCGTCGAGGGATTCACCCAACGACTTTACGTCTAGCACTTGATTTACTATTATTGACTCGTCGAGGGATTCACCCAACGACTTTACGTCTAGCACTTGATTTATTATTATTGACTCGTCGAGGGATTCACCCAACGACTTTACGTCTAGCACTTGATTTACTCTTATTGACTCGTCGAGGGATTCACCCAACGACTTTACGTCTAGCACTTGATTTATTATTATTGACTCGTCGAGGGATTCACCCAACGACTTTACGTCTAGCACTTGATTTACTCTTATTGACTCGTCGAGGGATTCACCCAACGACTTTACGTCTAGCACTTGATTTATTATTATTGACTCGTCGAGGGATTCACCCAACGACTTTACGTCTAGCACTTGGATTCACAAAAAAAATGCTTTACACAAGTCACCACTCGAACGACTAGTGTGGTAAAGTACACACCGCTCACTTCGATGGATCAAAACCAATTTTTGCGATTATCACACTTAAATTCAAGGAAGCACTTAATCATGTAAGAATAGAACAAACAGGGACACTCACCAAGAGTGAAGTTCAGATGTCAAATTGGGATTCGAGTTCCACTTCCTCACGATACCCTAAAATAACAAATATTGAAACTATAAGTTTTTACTCCGTTTTTAAGCTTATAGACATTGAGGTATAATTACATACTACTAATTCACTTTCCCTTAGGAAATCAAGAGTCCCTTGGGTTAATACGTGACAAAGTAGAAGGATTGTTTCCTATAGTTTTCATTAAGATACTTTTCCTGAAAAAAATAACTTGTATTACTTTCTTGAAATAAATCGACAAATCTCTTAATATCCACGTTAGGAAGTTACTTTGAACATTTCTTTAAAGCTATGGTTTTTGCAAAATTATTACTAAACTATTTTACCTAAAAATAAGGTTTCTTGCCGAGTAAGTTTCTCAAGCTTTTCACTAAAATTAGTAAAACTCGTATTTTGGAACTTTTCCTATAGTTAACTATCCAAGTGCAAAGCTTAAGGAAAGAAAAGGAGTTAAAATAAGACTTAAAGTTTTCAAAAGCTATAGAACTTATTTACTATAGCTATCAAGGCTAGTTTGAGCTAAAGGAAATTATCGAGTTGGAAAATTTTTAGGCAAAGCACTAGATATGGAGTTTTATAATATAATACTAGCTGGAAAAATATTTTTGATTAATTTGACCACAGTTACTCGAGTTCGCTAAGTCGATACAACTTCCACAGCTCCGATTCCGTTTCGAAATCATAATATGAATCAAAATGTGGTAAAAATCACATAACAAATTACTAGGACTTCGTCAATCATTAGCCTTAAATTTCAACAAGTGCATTTCCGAATAAACTAACATGATCAACCAAGGCTTCATCAATCATTAGCACTTGGTCTCAGCAAACCCAACATAAGCAAGTAAAAGTAAAAGTAAAGCTTCCAAGACATTCCAGCAATTCACTTTCATCACACCGTGGTACTTATAAAGTCATTCAAATGGCCAAGGGCTTCATCAATCATTGGCCCTTGACGACATTAGTTACTTCCAACTACAATTGAATCAAGAATTTGAACCACAAGTAAGATAAAATCTCAATCCAAATTCAAGTTTAGTTTCTCAAAGAAACAGGATATTCATGCAAAACAGTCTACTTTAAACATTCACAGACAGCGATACACATGGAGGAAAAATACGAAATCTCTATAGGTCAAAGGCCTATGATTCTAGTTTCAAATACCACTGACGGCGCCTTAAACGGATTTTCCTACACCAAGATATAAACATTTTATCGAGACTGGTCAGGGACATCCGAAAATCTGGAGTTTCATTTTCCACTAATGAAAAACTCCTTTTTTTTTTTTCTTTTAACACCAACATGTTTTTATTTCAAGCCGTCCATGCATTCCTTATAGATTCCCAAACAACATATTCCAGGCATTTTAACCATTATATTTTCAAGAAAATTTCCAGAATCCAAGTTGATAATTCAACTCAATATTCGGCAATCACAAGAGAATTTCCAGCAATTGTATACTAGCGTTTTTGGTTCCAACTTTATATGTACTAATTGGTTCGTTGCTAAACAAATTGTATATCTTGAAATTTGCATCTCTTATGAAATTCTGAGCCACCATAATCCAAGGAAATAAAATAAATTTCCAGAAACAAATTACAATTTTCCCAACGATATTGAAATTCTGGATCATACCCCTTCGGCTATCACCCAAAATTTCCAGCAACCAATCTACTTTAGTTCGAATTTTTCCTTGGTTTAAGTATGGTATTAGGTACTCAATTCAGCGTTTAAACACTTAGCTAACTAGTTGACATTTTTAACTCAAAAATTGAATTCAATTAGCAACTACAAATTTCCCAAAAATCCAGAAATTCTCCCATGAGCCTCGGTGATCATGCATGAACCACTTTCAAATTTTCCTTTTTATTTTTCTGGTTTAGGCCATCTCATTGCTACATGCACAGCTTAACTGATTAGTTATTGACTAATTAAGCACAGGGATCAATTCAGAGGGTCACATTTAGGCAAGTTAAACTTACATTTTCTGCTCAAGCTCACGGCAACATTACTACATCAAAACAGAATTTCTTATGTTCCTTGGTTCATCATCCGAAAGTTCCAAGTTCCCATGCAAAGCTTTGAACAATTTAATTAGTTAGTGATTAGTTAATTAAACATCACAACAAGCTCAGAATAACAGAGTTTGATCATCTAAGGTAGCATCATTCCAATCAGTCTCGGATGAAGCACTATCGCACATCAGAAAATTTTTGCTGTTTTTGTAACTACCATCCGAAGTCTAATAATCAACATGCAAGATTTTAAGTTAGCTCCAGAACCCTCTAATCAACTCAAACTAGATCAAGAAGTACCTCTGCTAATGCTCCGTTCACGCACGAACAAATCTGGGCAGAATTATTTCCCTAGGCTCGCGACTGGTTTGGGGTTGTCTTGGCTGAGCAGATGGTGGAGCTGTGGTGGTTGTTGCGGCTGGAAAACTGGGTGTAGCTTGCGGATTTCAGCTCTCCTACCTTGCTCCAGCTGCTGATCCGAAAGGGAAATGGTGTTGTGGAGCTGAGGTGAGAAGTTGGATTGTGAAGAAAAGTGGAGGTGGAGCCGCGGTTTTGGCAATGGAGGTAGAGTGCTTGTGCGGTTGTGTGTTGGAGTGGGAAAGAAATGTATTGGCCGAATGTGAGGTGGTGACAGACGGTTATTTCGTGAGGTTGTGAGGGTAATTTTGATCTTTTCACTTGCTCTCCTAATATCCACTCTAATATCCACTTAAGTCCCTATTTCTAACTTAATCTAATTCCAAATTTATCCCAAATGTAATTTGAATACTTAATTAATATACTAATCTCGCAAAGATTTGATTATCGAGATTTTAACGTCCTAAGTATACTAAGTGTACTTGTAATGGTTTTGTCTAAAATTATCAATGCAACTTAATACTAAGGTTCCTATTAACTCTTAACATTATTAACGATTAAATTAGCTATCGGAATTCAAAGAGTTTGTTTTTAAGCAATAAAATTACTCTAACTCGAGAAATATTAATTTAGTGTAACAAAACCGAATAATTCAATATTGGGCACAATTATATTATTTTTTTTTTTACATAGAAATTATCTTTACACTTTTATTTCAAAACAATTAATTACAATACTAGAATTCAAAAAAGAAATTTAATTCTTAGATCAATGAATATAGTTTACCATCGAAATATGAAGTTAATGTAACAAAACTAAGAAGTTTGGTAGTCTAGCACAATTCTTTTATTTTGCACATAACGTTTATTTCTATGTACTTATTTAAAAACAATGGGACTTAGTGCTAAAATTTATTAAAGAATTAAAATGCAAATAAAATATGCACTGATATTTATATGTATATTTTCAGGGTTCTCACAGTTTTCATATCTCAAAACTTCTAATCCTATACCCAAGTTTTAGAATATAAAGGAGCGTTCACGTTTTCTAAAACTTATGGAATCAAAACCAACAAAACGCTACTTATTTTCATAGTAAATACCAAAATCAAAAGTTCAAAGTTTCCAATAGAAAACTAGTGTAACTCCTCAAGAGTTACTCTAGTTAAAACGCTCCATTTATGGTTCAATTTCATGAAAATCAAGGGCATAAGACTAGGGTTGAAATCCCTTTCCCAAGCATGAAATGAGATGCAAATAACCAAAAAGTTATGCTTGTAACCAGAGAAATGTTTTCAAGTGACTTTGAGTGTTGTCACTTTACAAGGAAAAATTCAGTTTTGGCAACTTTTTCGAAAAATCATAACTTGAGTTTCATAAGTCCTAAATTTGCAAATCTTATACAATTGGAAAATAGACTCAATGAACTAAAACTCTCTAGAAGAATCACTTTTTCCAGATTCAAATCTGAAATCAATCAAATCTTAGCTCCAACTCACTGCTTCAGTAAGAACAGAGGCAAAAACAGTCTTGAATTTTAGTGAATTTTGAAAATTTGGTAAAATGATAGGAATCTAACAGCCCTTGAAATTTATACCACTAAAGAAATGCCAAGTTTAGTTTCAAACGCAATAAATGGAACTCAATTTGGGTTTTTATACACCAAGATACAATAGCTTTAGGAAAGCTGATTTTTGAAACTTGGTTCACAAAATTCCAGTTTTGGAACACTTGACACAGTTTGGAAATCAGGTCATATCTAAGGCTACACAAGCCTAAAATTAGCATAGTTTATGGAGTTGAAAACTAGATTCAAATGTTAAAAATCACTAGAAGAAACTGTCTTCAAATTCGTTTTGTAAGATGAGTGAAATCGAGCTACAATCTGCAGCTGGTGGATTTTTCTCGGTTAAAACAGTGAAGAAAATAGTCAACTTTGCCGTTCACTACGGCTCATAGAAAACGAACTAGCAGGTTTATTTTATAGGGTTAGAAAGCCCAGGAGTCTAGTTTTATATGATGCAAATGGCACTTCATTTTGACTCCTGTACAAAAAATTATGGCCTGTTGAGTGTACACTGGACGGCTACACTGATCAAAGATTTCCAGGTTTCCTTTCCTCTCTTTAACTCAACTTAACTCAAAAATGAATTGATTTCTGGGAGATAATTTACACACATATAACCCAACATATAACAAGCATTTTGGCATCTAATATAAGCACAAAATTCGAAATTAAAATAAGGAAAGAAACCAGCAAAATTCGGACAGTTTTGCTCTTCTTTCTCTTCAAGTTTTCTCTTCAATCTTTTACACCCAAAACCAAGTTACAAATCACTAAAAACAACCAAACAAGCAAGAAATCCTCAAGCTACTACCTAAGAAGCTTCCTCAAGACATCTACCTAAAGTCAAGGTTCATGGAACCCATCAACAAGCCAAGCTTATCTAGTTAATAACTAACTAAACTAACTAAAAGGTGAAAGAAAAAAGAGAGCTTTGAGGGGGTTTACCTTCTTCCAAGAGTAGTGAGCAAAAATACAAAGAAACAAGCTCTAAACCACCAATAATCTTCCTCCTCCAAGTCTCCTTCTAAGCTTGAGTGATGATCCAAGAAGATGAGCAAGGTTGGAGGCAAGTGTTTGGAGCAAAAATGGAGAAGATGATAGCTGAAAATTTTGGCTATGGGTGAAGAGAGTGCCGGCCAAGAAGAGAGGAGAAAGAGAGGGTTTGCTGAGCTTTTGGGTGAAGTGATTGATTGAAAAGGAAAAAGTGACATAAAGTTACTTTTGGTGCAAAAAGTCAACAAAAGAATAGTGGCCGCATTAGTGCTCCTAATTAAGCTTAATTAACTCACTCACCTCTAATTTTTCAATTAACTTTTCTTAGTCTACAATTAATCATTCTTAATTCTCCAAGACTACTACACTCTCGACCAAATATTACCTCAAAAAATGTGTTTTCACTAATTCTCATTAATCGACGGTAGAAAAAAATTAGACTTTAAAGACAAATGTGCTAAAATATAAATTGAGACAATATACCATGCAAATGTAATTAAAATGAATGAAATAAATTAATTGGGGCAATTGAATAAATAATTAATTAGATAAACCATCGAAGTAAATAAATAAATATAAATAAATAAAAATTCGGCGTCACACTTTCACTATTAAGGTACTTTCCCAATTGTTTCTTTCCTTCTCTCAACCGAAGCTCTACCTCCTTTCTTCTTTCTTTCTGATTAAGTTTAACTTTGAGGAAAAAGTCAATTGAGTTGGCAGGAGCATGGAGATCTTATTGAACCATTTTATTAATGTAAGTTTTAATACTTTGAGCTTTATTTACGGTTTGGTTAGAGTGAAGAGTTGGAAGTTGACTTGAGTTAGTTATAGATGAACTATTTGGTTTGATTCTTTATGCATTATTGTTATAATAGATTGCATTGATTCTTGATTTGGTTGGAATAATTTATCTCTTATGTGTTGACATTTCTCCTGGAACTTTGATGTTATTATAATTGCTAGAATTAAGTTATGGGTTAAGTATGTAGTTGTAGAGTTTGTGGTAATTAAATCATGGGTTTATTGACGCTTGGGTTAAGTTTACTTATTTTGCACCTAGAACTTGGTTGGAAATGGAAAGTAAGATTGCATGGTTGTGAATTGGAATAATCTCTTGTGTATCTTGGTGTTGAACTTAAAATTAAGAAAGTTTGAATTTCATTATTTCTACGATAATAGTCAGCCCTACATGACTTTAGGAAATTAGTTATAACTTGGTGTAGAAATTTCTAAATTGAGTGATTTTGGTTGTGTTTGAAACTAGTTTCACAAACCTTTCAACGGTATGAAATTCAGATTCAGATTCTTTCCTATTGATACCAGAAAATTCAGAAAGTTGACTAAAATTCTAGTTTCGCACTGTACAGTAGTACTAGAAATGTCTTGACTTTTGAATGATGATAGGCCTGTTTGTGTTTCGAATCATAGAACGGTGTCTTGAAGGCATTATTAGCATTAGGGGTTAGTTTCAATGGCACTAATTTTGTAGTTTTTTTTATGTGTATAGTTTAAATTACGTTTGTTTAATTAAGCACTGCCAAAGGTGGAAATCATACGTAATAAAGCTGCTTTGAAGTAGGTGATAAGGGTTTATTTTACGTATTTTTAAGTGCATTTTATTAGTTGATTTTGGTTTGATTATTTAGTTTTATAACTAAAATAAATAGGTTTTGGTAAAAATACATTTTTTTGGTAAAAGTGGCTATTATTGCATTTCTATTGATTTTAGTGGTAAAAACTTCATTTTTATGCAGGTTTAATGATTCAATCACCAAAGAATGTCAACTGAGGTGAAAAATAGATAATTCACGATGAATTCAAGTGGTTAAAAGAGAAATGCAGTGAAAAACATTCAAGTGAGGAAATGCAATTCAAGACAGTTTTGACACTCTTCGGTATTTCGACTATATCTAGAGCCATACTTATCAGAATGAGATGATCTTTATATCATTTTAAAGCTAAGAAAGAGACCTAAAATTGGTATGAGACATAAAAATCTAATTCTGCTGTTTTCATGGACAAAAAGTTGAAATACAGAAGCTGCATACTGTGGTCGGAAATTGAAACAGGGGTTTGACCAGGTGATAGTATTTTGACCATATCTCAGGCTACAAAACTCCGATTTGGATGATTCTTGAAGCATTGAAAAGCTAATGCAAAGGGCTACAATATTTGTGTTTGCACAAAAGTTAGTTCAGCCTTTATCATAGAGAAAATCGCAGTTGAAACAAGGCCAAGTTGAAAACACGAGTTGACAAAACGCGAGTTGAAACATGCCGCATTTTGTTGTAGTTGCGTTTGTAGTTGAAAAGCTGCTTGTGTTCATACTACTTTCCAGCCATAAGTTGCAAGAGAATTCTATGTCACATGCTTCAGAAGACAAAAGGACAAGAAAGGTGGCTTATTTTCAAACCAAAAACATTGGTTATTGACTATCTTAACAAGTTTCAGATTTGGGAATCAAGGGGTGGAATATTTGACCAGGAAAAAGGAGTTTTGGACCAGCTTTTGTGGAGAGACATTGGGGAGATCAGCACATCATACATAGCCAGATTTTCTGATAGCAAAACTCTCTCTAGCTAGGAAATTTTGCAGGAACACTTGGAGGCTTCATTTTGTAATCATCTAGTACAAGACATAGCAGATTCTTGGAGGGCTTTACT